GGATTCAAATGCCACCAATTTGGATCCACATGCCACCAATGTAACTTGTAACCATTTCCTAAGGGTACAGGTGAAGAGGCCTGAAAAGAAGTGGAGGTCCATCAAGTTCAACATGGCCAGCAAATCTAAAGGAACCATCGAACGATCGATCGACAGAATGACGTCGTCCGCTCACAGCTGCAAGTCGAAACCAAAGCCCTATGCGTGACTGCAGATGCGCAGGAATGTGCGTCCACATTCCCTTCCGGCTGAATCCCATAGCTTCGTTGGCATGGCTAGGGAAACAACTGCCATGCCCCCTGCTCTAAACAAGGCAATCCTGTTCACAATTCAAAAGAATCCCTGTGACTACAAGGGGCACACACACACATCGTGGTCCAGAAGTGCAAGCACCGCAAAGTGATAAAGACTTATACAGTTTCCCTAAAGTGGCAAGCTTACCTAAGAATCTAGGAACCGCATGAATAGTGCGAGCTTTCCTGCGTCCTAGCTAGGAGCTTCCTAAGCTCACTAGCTACCACTCATACTTTAGTTGGCGGCTAGACTCATCTAAGTTACCTCTTAGCGGCCTACCTCCCTGAAAAGATTGCATTTCAGAAAATGCGATGGTTTGTGTGTGGGACTCGCAGAGCAACACTTCTCATGTTGGCCCGGTTCTGCCAAGGTTTGGCGTCACAGCTGCCGCCTTCAACCTGCCGCTCTTCTCGGTGTTCTCGAACGTCGGCAACTCTGGGGATCAGTGAGACCAGGGGTGAGACTGTCAGGAACTCCAGTTGAAGGCTACTAAGTAGCCAGCTCGGCAAGCTCCTTGAAGTCCATAGAGCTCACCAAGGTCAACTAACCAAAACAAGACAAAACATAGAAAAGAAACAGACTGAAGTGACTGAAGCATGCACACTTGGCCAGCATGTGCCTTAACGTTCGGCATTGTCAAAGGTGGACCTTCTGAAACTCTATTTGGCCAGCTGTCCCCCCTCAACGAGTTCCGCTAAGAGTCCTCCCTCAACGAGTTCCGGAGAGAGGAGCCTGGGAGAGGACATTGGAGACAAGTGCTACATGTAGACTGGAGATATATAAATGGCGCGAGGCCCAGCAACCTTTGGACCTCCAAAAACTAGCAGCGTCATTCCCAATGATTGCTTCAGGTAAAGTACAGCGACTGGCACATGCACAAGACAAAAACGGCCCCGCCATGCTGAGAAGTTAAACCGAACAACCCCCTCGGTGGCAAGATTTCGGACGGTGGTGGCAGTTGATGTGACTACAACCTTTTGATTCTAATTGGTTTGGGAAGGTGGGTCAGGTAAAGATCGATGTGGAAAGAATCCAATTGAAATCCATGTGAGCAGATATTGTTGGCGTATGTTGGCGTTGTACAAAAGCCACGTATGCCACTTGACGCTCAAGGCTTGGGAGACCTGTTTCCGCTGCCAGCCACATGGCCTGGCAACGCCACATGGTGCCAGGAGCCTTCCTTGTCAAGGCCTCATTCTGCTCCTGTGGCTTGGCCTTTGGATGAAACAAAACTCGAGCAACCGCGTAGCTAGGACATGCTACGGCGCTAGTCAGAACGTACCGGCAGATGGTGTTTGGTTCAAATGCATACTGAGGCCGGCTTACTCAGAAAGTGTCCAAGCTAAGCTGGAAGGAGTCAGACCATCTCCATTTGGTTTCCATTTGGTTTTAACCATGGAAGAAATCCGAAGGGACGAATCGGTGTACGTTCCCAGCCACCAACCATGCCCTTCACCCCCCGTGAGCTGAGGACTTCGGTGACTCCGGCCATGTTTTGGGAAGCGGGTGAGAAAGGAGATGGTGTGTGGATTTGGAACTTCTAACATACAATTAAGATCAATTAAGGGAGTTTCATCCGTACTGTCCTAGAAGTCGAGGGGACTACAATTGCAAGGATCTAGAATTCCAAATGAATCTGAGTTTCAGGACTCGTAGGTGGGAAAGCAATTGAATGGCAAGCCGCTCGGCATAGCTCAGTTTTGATTGATCAGGCATTCAATTTTCCTGACAAGCTAAGCAGCGTCCATTTGTTTTGGAGCCAAGGTCGGTGACAGGTTTGTAATTGTTGTCCGAGAGGTGGAGAGAGAGAGAGAGAGGGGGGACCAACACACAGACAAAGCGCTGAAAGTCATTAAACAAAGGCTGTCCACCAGACGACACTTCTTGGTTTTGTACTTTGTCCGAAGCCTCCACAAACTTGAGTTGACATTTGGTCATTGACACAATCTGAATCAGGTAAGATTGGCCGGCGCCTATTCAGTTCCATTTCAATGCATTCTTGACCTCACATGGAGCCCCTTAAAATACACAATTCCTCCGTTATCCTGGATTCTTCGACAAGCCCAGCGATGCCAGTTTGTGGCTGGACCTCTCTTCTTTTTGCTTAGTTTCATTGAGGCACGGAGAGAACGTGAAGAGAATGAGCACTAAACCTGGAAGAATGGGGAGTGAGCCCATTATTCCTCTTTCCTCCGAAAAGTTCCAGACAACCAGCACGCCTTGACCTGCAGGTTGTCCCTTTGCTCCGCAGTTTTTTGGCGCTAGCTTTGTTGGGTTGGTGCCTGCACGCCCTCTTACTTGCAATTTCCCTCCTAAAATGGTTGGCCACGAGGCGACCTACACAAGATACAAGTTGCCATGAATTCCCATTTTGCAGCGCCCGGTTTAGCAATTTTGTGTCAGTTGTTGCAAACACAATTTTGTTGGTGTCAAAAAAAACAAGAGTGGTGGCAAACATTATTTAAAAGAGTTGCCATGTTGGATGTTCCTAATTCTGTTGGTGTCGGATGCGTAATTGAGTCATTATTGTAGCAGAGACCTGCAGAGAACAGAATTACGTGCTGGATCCAGAGTTTGCGTGATGGATTCACCGGAGATGGATTCATTAATCATTAGTGAAGGAATGTGAAGGAGGGGAACCCTGTTTCTGAACACTTATGTGAAACTGAAGCTGGAAAGCCCCGTGGGCACAATCATGCCACGAACATCAAAGCACGCTTGTCATTTCACTGCGTACCTGACCTCAGATCAAATTCACTTCAACGTTGCTAATTACTGAGTGGCTTGCTGCGGCCCAATGATTCAGTACGAAGCAAATATGTTCGCCAGTGTTGATTGTGGGGAACATCTCCATCACTTTGCAAGCTGAAGATGTGTTTCTCAGACACGTTGAAAAAAATTGTACTTGCAGAATCCAAAGGCCAGGATAAGGGCACCTTTGCAATTTGAGAGGTTCCTGATGTTCGCACTGTTTGGCCGGCAGGAATTCCGCTTAGCGTTTACCCTAAAGTGGGCAGCCGGGCCACCAAGCATGGCTGCAGTTTCTGACCTTCGCCGGTGGACCAAATGATCACTCCTCCAATACTGATTCCCCAGGGCGATCGCAATTCTGACAGTTTCTGCAAAGGAACCGCTGTTGGTGGTTCTGCCAAAGCATTTGGTTGCAACGCTTGCTTTGCAACAGCCCCTGGCTTGTCTCCTCAGACTGACCCAAAAGGTGGAAGCAAGATGCAGCAAGTGATGTACGTTCCTTTTTCATGGGAGTGGAAGATTAAGCACTCATAGATCCTAGTGTGTTGGGGTCACCATTTTGCCGCCGGCCCAGGCTGAAAGCAGCTAGCCGAGTTGACTGCAACTAGACTGGAAATGGCCAGAACTAGACTGGAAAGGATCAACCAGCCTTTTAGCATCTTTTAGCTCAACTCTACCTGTGTGGCACTGAGTGGTGCAAGATAGTGTCCAAGGCCAAGGTTCTTCATGTGGGCAATGTTTGTGCATGCTGACCCTTTCGGAGCAGGTGTGACCAAATGATGATTGAATCACATGCCAATGGATCGTCTTCCATCGCTCCACACCAGCCAGAAAGCTTTGAGATTTGTTTGGTCGCGACTGAGGCTTCTAGAAGGATGTGCTTCTGATGAAAGTGGCGGCAAAGACCATTCCGCTGAATCGTGGACAGGTTTGTACATAGAGCTCGGTTGTCATGGTCGAGATAAAATTAGTCCTCCTAGCATCTCCTAGCAGCTTTCATCATTGTTGGGAAGTGGCTACACCTTGAGATTCTCATGACAGTTTTTGGACATTTTTTGTAACTAGGTTGCTGCCACTCGCTACCTACGTGGAGGAACAATTCCAGACTCCAGCAACTGCCCAATGGCGCCAGTGGCACGACAATTTTTGGACTATAGCCCTCACCACCCTGCAGATTTCTTGGTTGAACTAGTCGGCTGATGAAAGCCTTTGGGCAAGACGGCAACCCTGCAGGCAGAGTCAATCTATTCAAAGAAACCCAATATATAAATATATATATACAGTATATATCGATCCAAAGGGGAATGCAATTGGCCGTGTACCTACTATGGAGCTGTGGTTGGATAAAGAGAAGCAAAATTCGGATCCCAATCTTTTGAATACAACCTTTTCAGGAGTGAAAGTGTGAAAGTTTCGACTACAACGCCAACTACATTGCATCACAGCTCCGCTCGATTCCAGCTATGACATCCCATTGGGAAGTGGTGAAGCCGACACGAGATACATCAGACTTTCTCAAGATGAGACTTAACTACCCCAGGCGCAGATTTTCGCAGGTCACAGTCCCCCATGCACTCTTTTGCTCAATTCGGGAACGTGCCCCAGACAGAAAAAAGGCGGGAGGGGCCGGCGGGACTCGCAATTTTTTGGGTGCTATGTTATTGTTTTGTTGATAAATCACGGTATGACCAAATGTCAAATTCTTGCAGATGTGCACTTTTGGAATCAAGGATTGGAGACATTGGAGGTGACTATTTGAGGGTTTGAACATTGGCATCAGTTTCCACACCCATCAGCAGTCCAAGCTCCACTTGGCAGGTTGAGCCGCTGCAAGCACAAAACTCTTGCATGCAGGTGCGGTTATTCAAGTGGACTGGACCCAGATGTGCATCATCATCCGCAATGAAAAAGGTTGGTCATATATTCTAGACATCGGCGGTCAAAAAGTTCGATTGAACGGTTGCTGAACTAGCACCCTCTTAAAAATCTGATGGAATCGATGGGCCGAGCTTCCTGGGTGTTTGCCATCATATTGTAGGTGGAGGGTTTCTAGCTAGTTGGCAACAAGCTGTTCTCCAATTCAGCCAATAATCAGGCATCTTAAGCTGGCCCTTTGTTGCACATACCTGAAATATCATTGTGGCAAAGTGTGGCGGGAGGATGGGAGACCCATGCAGTTGGGCCAAGAATGGACGCTGCTGCTCTCCAGTAGCCCTTTTTGCATTTTTTGGCCAGTATCACTCACGAGCTGCCAATTGGCTTCCCCTCAAGTGTATGTCAAGAGGACTCCAAGCAAGTTGTATAGTGAGTCGTTCTTGCGCTACTCACATGCAAGCTTTGGGACCGCAACAAAAAAAGTGTGGCTATGATGCGGGTTTGCTGGGATCCAGCAAGCAAACAACGGGCTAACGGGGATGCGAGAAGCACAGTGGGGAGGGGACAAATCTGAGTGTCATCACAAGGTGCAGCTGCTGACATATTCATTTATGACCGATGGACTAAAACCGTATGCTAATGATAGGAAATCATGAAGTCTCCTCTGGTCCTCTACTCGCACTATCAGTGGATCAAGATGAGGTAGAAATCCAAGTCTGATCCGCTTCCTGCAGGTCGTCCGCTTGGATAGCTCCTTAGCAGAGATCGCTTCTGCTCCTGGCCTGGATCCCCGCAGATGTTTGAAGGAGCCCATCCTTCCCCGAGGCGGAGCAAGATGCGACCGTTTTGGTGTCACTACGGTTTAATAGTTTAATAGCGCTTTATTGGGATCATTGGGATCCTTGGTGTGTGTTTGTGTCGTTCAATGCTCCATGAGTCCAGAAGAATTCTTTGGTTGACCTAGCCTGCACCCCTTTCATGCAGTGCAGTTTCATATTTGCCCTTTTTGGCGACAGGCATATCGAATTTGCGAGTTATGGATATCTTGAACCTTTTCCTCGAAGGACCCGAAAGAGAACAGAGCAGTGAAACAGATACGGCCGATGTCACAAAGAGCACAGACTATGTGATGAGTTCAGGCAAGTGATTGCCGTGAAACGCCGTGAGACACTTGACAATATCAATGGATCATGGTGGCATATCCTCCAGGAGTTGTCGAGCAGCTGCAGAAGCCGGACGATGCTAGTGCCAGTGGCGCTGCCGCTGCTGGAGGAAGCGCAGCCATTGGCGCCATAGCCACGGGCACCACAGCCACGCCGTGCACAGTGCCCTGGCAAGGAAAGAGATTGTACAGAGATTGCGACCAGAACCAAGACTGTTGTCAGGAAGTGTTGCTCTTGGACAGGATGCTTTTGGCTCCGTATTGCTTGGTATTGGAAGTAGTCGCAGGTAGTGGAAAGGCTGGAGAACGGATTGCCGCTAAACTGCACCAAAAATGTGGTTTGCTCTTCAGTGGGGATTGTGTCCATTCGCAAGCCTGGAAGTAAAACGAAATCGCTAGTGAAGCAAGCTATTTTTCAGGATAGGCGTGTGGCCATTTCTGTATCAAAGTGATAGTTATGAAGCACTGAATTGCTTGTAGCTTTGCTTTAGGGCAGTGTTTTAGTTAGGGCTTGCAGTCGGTGAAAAATACTCGCAGCATTGCCCCATTGACTCACCCCATGACAAGGAGGTGGAATCTGTCGATGGACGCCCAGGCCACTTCCAACAAGCTTAGGCAATGTGAAAACCCAAGTTCCACTGGTCAAACTCTGATGGATCATGCCCCAAGGTTTTTTCCCCAGATAGCGAAGCTATGGGGTTCTTACTTCAAATAACAATGAGTTGCCCGTGCGCGCTTTCGAGACAGGTTGCTGGTGCTGTGAGCTGGCTGTGCGCGTGGTGGAGACAGGTTGCTGGTGCCGGTGCTGGTGCTGGGTGCCGGGTGCCGGTGCTGGTGCTGTGAGCTGGTCGGTGGAGACAGGTTGCTGGTGCTGGTGCTGGGTGCCGGTGCTGGTGCTGTGAGCTGGCTGTGCGCGTGGTGGAGGCAGTGCTGGTGCCGGTGCTGCTGCTGGCTGCGGGTGCCGGTGCTGGTGCTGCGAGCTGGCTGTGCATGTGGTGGAGACAGGTTGCTGGTGCCGGGTGCCGGTGCTGGTGCCGGGTGCCGCTGTGCACGTGGTGGAGACAGGTTGCTGGTGCCGGTGCTGGTGCTGTGAGCTGGCTGTGCACGTGGTGGAGACAGGGTGCCGGTGCCGGGTTGGTGCGGGCTGTGGTGCTGGTGCTGGGCGCTGTGAGCTGGCTGTGCGCGTGGTGGAGAGTGCGCGTGGTCGAGACCGGGCGCCGGTGCTGGGTGCTGCCTGTCCAGTTGGTGGAGACAGGGTGCCGGGTGCTGGTGCTGTGAGCTGGCTGAGCGCGCGTTTAAGACGGGCGGCGGCGCTGGTCGGGTGCTGGCGCCGCTGCCGGTGTTGCCAGCTGGCAAAGCGCACCAGGCTGCGTGCATTCTTGTTCCAGCCAGTCGCATGTCAACAGGTCGTGGGATTCTGCCTGGCTATCTGGGTCTATGCTGGTGTAATTTATGTTTTTTAATGATGCAACATCCGTTGGAAAAGATATGAACAAGAGAAACAAAGCCGGGCAGTGAACAAGTAGAGATAGTAAAGTGCTGCCTCCTTGGCCTCCTTGGTATGCTTGGTCGACTTTGCTCTTTCAGCAAACCTCCAAGAGGACATTTTGACACACCAGGCGCCCTCTTTGGCCTCCTCTTCGGGTAGATCTTCGACAAGGACAGGATCTCTATTGAACCAATACATGTATATCTACTTCTCTCAAGTGGGGAGCCACGACCCAGAGGATTTGAGCTTGCATGATTTCAGTCATCTATGTTTGTATCACATTGCTTTGGGTGTAAGGATGTTTGATGATTGTTTGCTTGAAGCCAACTGATATAATATTGAATCTGTTTGGCACCACTCATTTTGACCTGGCCGTCCTTTCTTGTTTCCAAAGGTGACCTAGGTTGAAGGCAAGCAGTTGATTCTTGAATTCTTGAATCCTAACAACGCCTTCAGTTGGTATGAACAGAAAAGATAGGGAAGTGGAGCTGAGATAACTACTGTATATTAGTCAACAAGAATTCGGCAATGAAAGTTGCTTGTATTTGCGCTCTCGTTTCAAGTTTGTTGTGCCGTAGTGCAGTGCAGTTCTTGTATGCCAGTTTGGGGGACAATTTATTGTTTTTTAGTGAGCTGACAATTTCTTGCATCAAAGGAGCTCCAAGTCTGACCACTCAGCCTCATCGACACGGCCAAAAGCCAAGTGCCTTGCACTAGTAATAGTATAAATAGTGTGTTGGAAGTTGGAAGTATTGGTTGCTGGGACAAGCACTGTTTCCTCAAAGTCTTGGCCTGATTGCTTGCAGTGGTGAAGTGGGACCTGTGAGTGATTGGAGTGTGCTTCAAACCTCAATGAGGAGGCCGTATGCATGGCTTCTTTGTCTTCCTACAACTGCGTATGTTCGGTAATTGCTAAAGCTAATTATTAGCTAGTTGAAGCATTTTGAAGCTGTCATTGAGCTCACATCTTGCGTGAGCTCGGAATGGAATGGAGTGTCATTTGGGACAACGTTATATATCATGTTGCTAAATGTTCACATATCGCATATTGCTGCAATTATGCGCAGGTTTCGTTGGACATGTTTTTAAATGTTTATGTTTAACCTAATGTAAGCATTGCGGGGCTGCAACTTGTTTGATGTTGCCAACAGCGAGCCTGGCACATCTGTATAACATCCTGCAACCGTAAAAATTCCAACCACAGCACCCAATCAAGCAGATACCTAGAGACTCAGAACACGTTTCGCACTGTTTGTACCTCAAGTATTGAAGCCCCACATTACTGCTTTTGCGGGGAACACACTACACGGCACGACACTTGTTGTTCAGCCTGGCATGAGCAGACTCAACCAGGCAAAGCTGAGCCAGCAGGCCCACAAGGTCTTGCTTCATTTCGTGTCGTCCCTTTGCAGTTCACTGTAAAGCCATGTGGTGCCTCAGAATTGAAGGCGTCTATGTTAGTCTATGGGCGACAAAGATGAACACCCGAGACAGCGTGGACAAATGTGAAGTGCTTCCCTCCAAAACAAGCAGAATTATTGAATATAAAACAATATATATATATATATAATGTTCATGAATACAATATATTACATATTTATGCGATACTTTGGCTGAGGCCCCGTGCCACGGCCTCCGCGCGCTCCGCCTCCCCACCGCAGCCGCGGCGGGTGCCAATGGGGGCCGGTGTGGCCGGTGTGGCCTCGGGTGCCCCGGCAGGGCCAGCAGAGCTACGAAAGCTGCGGCAGCAAGCAGCGCAGTGTCAGGAACTGGGTTTGGCTCAGGCAAGTTGCCATGGTGCTTTACAGATATGTACAGGTTTCAGCAGCAGCGTAGACAAGCTCATTCTTTTGGATTTGTGGTGTGGATTTCAAACTCTTTACTGAAGTCACATCGTCCACGGGTGAAGGGGATTGCAGAATCGATGATTTGTGAAGCACCCCAATTGTGCTGATTGATTTGTGAATCGTCCTGGATTGTTCGCAGCTGACATGATGTCTTTTTAGACGGCGAGAGGGGCTAGGCAAGGATGAAGGAAGGTCAGTCCAGCAACCACGAAGCCTGGTCGTATCATGTCAGATCTAAATCGCAGATCTGCAATACCTGACTCTCTCGGAGTCCCTTTCTTCCCTTGACAACGGATCCGACAGCAGGAGTTCAAAGAGATGTCAGACCAGGCAGGCGTTCATGCAGGGTCGAAGGTGGTGCATCGTGCATCCCGCGGAGAGAACTGCAAGGGGTCGCAGCCGAGCAGTTTTACCAAACCAAGGTCACCCAAAACACAGGCCTTGCACAGGATGGGGGAATAGGTTGGGGGGTGCTTTTCAATGGGTGGTGATTTGGAAGAGGTTCTGTATTCGTTTTGAATTCCTGATTCCTGATACACCCAAAAGAGCCAAAGGCAATTCCAGGCCTATGAGAAATGTAGCATCCAGAAAGCAGTGCGTTTTCCCGGGCCCCAGAAGTTCTCCATGGCTGTGTGGATTTCTGGATTGACAGAATCAGAATGAGTTCAAGTTGATCAGCTTCCACTTTCATTGGCGGCGTAGATTGTCTTAGTCTTCGGTTTTCCCAGTTCTAAATCGCAAGCGTAAAGGAACACAATGGATGTCAAGTGTGTTCCCTTGTGATTGCTAAAAGGGTGTAAGTGTAGACCACTACGCTGATGATTGTTGAGTGGAGATACCCACAAATACATTCAGTAAGGTGGGCGGCGGGCGGCATGTTTTCCTGTAAATGACTCAAGTCGACAGTAGCCTGCCTAGTTTATGGACGATTAATGAGGTGAAATTGGCACATAATTTATTTGCGTTGAAGATATGTTTCCTTAAAAATCTGGGAACCAAATCTTTAGTGAAGAAGCGTGAGCTATCCTGCCTCCATATGTAGCTTAAGTAGCTAGGAGCTTACTCCCTACTTACGGGCTTGAAAAAGATAGAAATCCCTTGGCTTCAAAAAGAGCAAACATTGTTACTACTAGTAAGGCACTTGTTACTAGAAGCGATGCACTTGTTCCTAGTAGCTTATTGTTGCTAGTAGCTTATATTAGAGTTCCACCAAGGCTGTTGGCTTGGAGGATCGAACTCGTGCCGCTTTGAGAGGCCAATCATGAACTAGTGCGCATCGAGGGTGAAGTACATGAGCTTCGAGAGTTTCTTGGCGCCAACGAGCCAACAAGGCTCAGATGAATGTCCAGAAAGAGTCCTAAGGATAGTCACAATTGATTGTTTGGGGAGTCTATGTGGAATGAGGTTTTCAGATTTTGTGGTTTGTGATTTTGGTGGGTTCTTTCAGAGTACATACTGTATGAATGTCCATGGTTCAATCGGAAGGGTAGAGTTGAGATCTTGAACAGATGGAGAAGATTCTGGACAACACTGAAGTCAGTTCACAGTCCTTGTTCTTCTCCTTCTTCTCTTTCTTGTTGGCCATTTCGTTTCAAGTGCCAGCGATTGACATCATTGACTTGGATATTCTTGATGATTTTCCTTTCAACATGAAAGTTGTATTCAGGCTTCGTTGCAGATGAAAGTGTGCAAAAGTCCTGGTTCAGGACATCATACTCAATCATACTCTGTACACTGGCCTTGTTGTATTCCAACATGTTGTTTTTCTGTGGGTTTCCTCAAGAAACGACCCCATGGAGCTCCGTGTTTGATATATGATGGTGGATCATCTCATTCATCCAATCTGATGGAGTGCACTTTCTCTCTTCAGTTGCGGTGTTGATCCCCAGAGACTTGTCTCGCGATGCAACCAATGTAGGAATTTCGCCAGAATGTTGTAAAATGCCTTCAACTATGTACAGTAAAGCAAATCACAGTAAAACAGAACTAAAATGGCAATACTTATTGGTATGATAGTCAGACAGTCAAATGTGTCATATTTCTGATAGGATGGGTTGATCTGTTCTTTGTTGATCAGCGATTCTGCCCAGGCAGGTCTCCCACCTCTCGCGGCAGATGCTCGGCGGAGGGAAGGAGGGAAGCGCCGGGTAATTGGCTGAAATCACTGGTGGCTTATGCAAATAGGATCATTATAATGGGTCATAGATCCGATATGCTGTGGTTTCTGCGTGCAGTAGTATATTTATATTATATATTCTATATAATACAGTATGTTCCAATATTATCTCACGGGCATAACACCGCTTTGTTTTCTTTGATCAGCAAAAGGGCTTCAAAGTGAACGTGGTTGTGTCATGACCATCAAGCCAACTTCACAAGCGTGCTTCATTTCTGCTCTCCCCTTCCAGTCTCTGCTGGAACTTTAGGAATTCACTCATGACGTGTCATGACCGAATTTTACACCCCCGCTTGTAGGCTCGAGGGTAGGTGAGCTCAAGTTTGGAGAGGAGAGATGGAAGGGGGCACTTGTGCCCCCGACCCGGAAGAGTCAGCGAAAATGCTGAACTTGCTCTCCGAGGTAGGGCTAGTAGGTTCCAAGCTCGCCGTGAGCCATGGCACCGAGCAGTCCTTGGCGAAGCAGCTCACCGACCGGCTAGGGATTGATATGAAGCCCTGGCATACAACGTTTATCGTTGGACAGGTTCGCGAGGCCGTTCAGATGTCTGACCTTGATGAACGGGTTACTGGCACTTCATCATCCAGGTCGATGCAGAACCTGCTTGACGCGAGGGCAGCAGCGGAGAAGGAGAAGGTGAAGGCCCTCGAGCCTACCGGAGATCAGCTTGTTGTGCCCACGGTGCCAAAGAGGGGCACACTGGGGAGGACGGTGAGGTTGAAGAGCGGGCGCATTGCCGCTGAACACGAAGTGACTGACAAGATCCTGGAGAGGTTGGTTACTGAGCTGATGCAGTACAAGGCGCCTATTCTCGACGAGATCAAGAAGGCCATGAACCCTACAAGGGCAAAAGAAGCTTTGATAGGCAAGTATCGTCTCTCGACGGTGAGGCGATACCTGGCTTCCTGGCAGCGGGGCGGAAGAGATGGGGAAGCCAGGCACGCGGCCCAACAGCGTGATGCTCGTGGACTACATGTATGCCCGCGAGGAAGAAGGCATGGGACCATCGATCCCGCTTGCTGTGAGCACTGCAGCGTCGTGGTTCGAGCGCACGGCAGGGACGCCGGAGGAGGACCAACTGATGGGCCAGGCTTTTCCCCAGATGGTCATGAGGGAGCTGACGCGGAAGCTGGAACAGAATGCACCCCCAGTTAAACGGGCGCCCCGTTGGCTGGGTTGCTTCATTGCGCCAATGGAGACTCTGGTTGTTGACACAAGGGCTCCCTTCGAAGTCAGGGTCTGTGCATGGTTCAAGTTGATCAAACTCTGGGCTTCCATGAGGTTTGACGACGCGGCACATCTGAAGACATCGGGGCTGCGTTTCTATGACGGCCAGCTGACAGGCATGATGCACCAGTCGAAGACCACCGGCGCTGGGAAACGTGTCAGAGAGCTCCCTATCTTCATCGCAAGAGATGCGTATGTGCTGCAAGACGATTGGCTGGCAGTGGGCTTTGACCTTGTGAAGCTACAGATGCCAAGGGACAGAACGTATGTCTTCCCGGAGGGCTGTTTCTATGGCATTGCTTATGGCACCTCCCATGTAACATACGCGGAAGCGGTGGCTGGAAGCGCCAAGACGTTCGCACTGCTGGAAGGCTATGGAGGACGGTTGATTCCTTCAGGATGGGAGAGGTTCTGGTCAGAGCATAGTGAACGGGCGACAATGCCCAGCGGGCTGGCAGCATTGGGAGTGGAGAAGTCAGACCGTGATCTGCTGGGCAGGTGTCCAGAAGGATCTGACGTCTATGTTCGGACCTACAACTCAATCGTCCGGAAGATGCAGAGGAAGATCGTGGTGGTCCTGAGGGGTGAGAAGGCATATGAGGAGTTGGACGAGGGCTCCATCCTTGAGGAGTTGAAGGTATGGCTCCATGAGAAGTGAGTGGACGGTGCTGGAAGACAAGGCCGAGCGTGCCGTTGAAGCATGGAAGGAGAACCTGGGGGCCTACTCAGGGCCTGGCCGTCCGATACCAGTTTCAGACGATGAGACCACGATCTATGGAGGCTCCAGAGTGAGAAGGAGGCCAACGACGGTGGCACTGCAAGCGTGAAGAAGAGGAAGCAGAATGATCCCCTCAAAGAGGAGAGGGAGGGCAGCTTTGTCGTAGTGTACAGAAGGGCAGGCCAAGGCACCCTGCACAGATTAGGTGAGAAGGGCTGCTGGATGGCCAGGAGGAGGTTCTTTGTGCGATCTGAAGTCCACAAGGAGCTGCCCCAACCTGAAGAGTACACACTTCGATGCAAGCTGTGTTGGAGTGGAGGGGATGGCCAGTTGAGCGAGTCCACAAGTGACTCGAGAGACGAACTCGGTCTCAGCAACTAAAAATTGGTTGCCGGGGGAGCAGGGTGCAAGGGTTGAGGCATGTTGATATCCTCTCTGGGTAGCACTCAGGGGGGATGGGGTTTGCGTGTCGCTTCATGCAAAGGGTTCTTCCCAGGTCGCACCTGGGACGGAAACACACTGGTAGGAGGTAGCGCATACCTGCCGATGAGCGAGCCAGTCGCTCAGGAGCAGGGAGGGAGCGCAGCCTTTGTGGCACGGGGGTCAGTGGAGGAGAAGGCGGGGTCGCACCTCGATCCGTCGGTTGTTTGTCACATCGCATGTGAGCAGGCAAGTGCATAGCATGCGCATTAGTCACATCGCATGTGAGAGGACAAGTGCAAAGCATGCACAGGGAGGCGCCGCTGTGTCTAGTGTGGCAACGCTTGCTGCACGATTGGTGGTTCAATCAGGAGAAGGGGCGGGGCACCGCGGGTCCGGTCCACGGTCATGCCGTGCGCCGTGCTCTCTGAGGATGAGGGGAAGAGGGCGCTCGAAGCTGCAGGGACTGACATCAAGTACCTCTTCTCCAGACATGAAGTGACCCTCAAGAACCAGAAGTTGTTCTTCCACCATGGAGTTACAACGCTCGAGAAGTTATCGAACTTTGCCAAGGACCGAGATGATCTTGCAACAGTCCTCAAAGACCACTGGGAGTTGGACTCGAGCCGGACTTTGGATGAGAGAGTGCAGGTTGCAGCGATCACCTGCGCCTATACCAATGCCAACAAGGAGCCAGAGGGCCGCCGAGGTCGACGCAGAGTACGACACTTTACAGTGGTCGAGGCCGGTGGTGGCAGGAGAATGGGCGGCAATGCGATCAGCATTGGAGAAGCGCTACGGCCACTTGGAAGACAAGATCTATCCGTCGAAAGAATTTGTTGAAAAGAAATTGGCGGAGGTTGAAGGTGGCGAATACCGGGCCGAAGATCTGACTGAAGTCGTGTCGAAAGAAGAAATTGAGCCGGATTCTGTGGTGCCTATTTGGGACTCCAAGGGCCGACTGGCGAGGCACCGAGGCTCGACGAAAGTCCCTGAACCGACAAACGCTGAAGAACTCAGACGGCGTCTGACCATCTGGAAGAACGCCATGGTTATGATCTCCCTGAAGCACTCGAACAGGCACGAACTACAAGGCGCATGGGAGGAGACGACAGAGCAGTACAAGGACTACCTCCTTGTAGATTATGTCTACGGCTTGAGTGCCAAGGATGCTGAAGGGCAGACCTTCGCCAGTCCGCCATGGAAGTTGATCCTGGCGTATGAGAAGGCGATCAGAAAGCAGGCGGCGAAGATCACCAACACTGAGGGCAAGCCGCTCACCGTTGCTCTGAAGACAGCATGGAAGGATGCAACGATCAAGGAGCGGAACTTCACGACGCCACTGGCACTCTATGCAAAGAGGCCCCAACCACCATGGAGAGAGCAGCCAACAACAAAGTGGGCTGCCACGGAGAGGGGATGCAAAGGCAAGGAGAAGGGCAAGAGCAAGAAAGGGAAGAGCAAAGGAGGCAACCCTCATTGTGCAACCCACACACCGGATGGAGATCTGATCTGCTTCAGGTACAACACGCCCGGAGAGAAATGCAAGCTCAGCAAATGCAAATACAAACATGTGTGTGGGATTTGCTACAGTGACAAGCACCCCCTCTACGAGTGCAATCCTCGGAACAGGAAGGAAGCGACGGCCCCGGACACAGACGGGACCAAGTGAGGCATCTTGCGTGTCCTCTACGTTTTCTCTGGGAGGAAAAGGCGCAATTCAGTGGCTGGATTCCTCAGGAGATTAGCACCACGATGCAATGTCCAAGTGGAGATCACGGAGTTGGACATTCAATCGGACCGCAAGTCAGATTTCACAATTCCAGCAATTCAGAAGAAGTGGTTACAGATGATTGCCAAAGGCATCTTCTTTGCAGTTATAGTTACTCCGCCTTGTTCCACCTTCTCGAGAGCTGTGTGGGCTAATGATTTGGGACCGTTTCCTTTGAGGAGCTCCACATATCCGAGAGGCTTCCCATGGAACAAGGGGGAGAGATTCCACAAGGCAGAATTTGGGACGATTCTGGCGGACTTTTCATTTGAAGCGCTGAAGCGTCAATTTGCACGCAAGAGGACAGTTGGCCTCATGGAGCAACCGGAAGATCTTGGGAGAACTGCCAATGACAGGGTGGCCGGGCATCAACCAGCTTCCATGTGGCAGTTCGAGCAATTTTCACAACTTCTTGAGATTGAAGGAGAACAGACAGTGGTTTTTGCACAATCAGATTTTGGCACAGAATCCCCAAAGCCGACAAGATTCCTGATGCGCATCTATGCACCGCTTCACGATGCTATGTATGAAGGTTGCCCACAGTTTGACAGCCAAGGTTGGTACCTTGGCCCATTGCCACGCCGATCAGGGGGCGCCCCTCTGATTGGCAAGGCAAACGGTCTCTTCAAGACTGCACAGTCCGGCTTTGTGCAAATGGACGGCTGAAGCCCTCATCACCTCCTTTCTGCAAGAGTGTCGTGGGGGGGGTGACATTTGCAACAAGAGAAAGCTGGAGGGGGGCGCGGTTCCTTCACCTGGAAAACGTCCAAGAGTAGAGGTTGAGGAGAAAGAGATGAGAGGA